TCCATGCTGTTCGCTATCAGTTTCTCTACTTATAGTAGGGTTGGTAAGCGAACAGCATGGATCCTGATCAGACTGCGCGAATTTATTATAATATCAACAAATAAGTTAAAATAAAATAATAAATTTACAATGGTAAAATCATAATGGGCTATTTATGACGCAGGCGGCAAAATAAGTGTATTCCAGGTCAAGTTCAATGTCAAATAAACAGCGCAATCATTATTTTACAAAAGAAATCAACATGACAACTATTTACATTCATATACATGTATTTCCCGATTATAATGTTATAAACTGTTAAAAAATGATTTAATTGACAATATGACTGGCATAAAAGTAGGGTAACGTTCATCAAATTTCAAACGAGTACAAAACGTGACTTTATGTCACATGTGTACTATAAATGTACGTCAGAGAGTAACGATTTTTAAATTTTAAATTTGAATGGAGAAAAATAATATATATCGGAGATAAAAAAATATTATTTTCGATTTCTTTTCCTTTATTGGCCAAAATTAAAGTCCTGTAAATGTTTACATTACAATAATAAGCTGAACAACTTCCTGAACAGAGTGTATTTCACGCCCTCGCTGGACTCTATCGGTGAGCGGCAAGTAATAACATTATAACAATCTTCGCCCGAATATACATCACTGAGACCAGTTGATGACAGCGGCGGTCCCTTTGAGTTGAATAAATTACAACTTAATCAGATTATTCTATTTCTAAAAAAGTTTTTTTTACGTCTCTTGCTACGATAGAATTAATTTCGTCCACAACAATGTAGTATGTTCAAAGACCAGTGGTCACTAGCAACCTGCCTCTAAACTTCAATTGCTTGCAATTGGTCCATATTTTGTTGTACAAACTTGAACAGATGTTAGATCATTTTCAATTTCTATGTTAGACATGGCTCGTTATCGTAAAAATAACTCAAGTTTACAACCTGAAATAATTTTGGTTTTGTCTAGTTTTTATTTGTTTGGGTCGTCAGACCAAACAAATAATGGTAGCGAAATTTCAGAGTCTAATGTTGTTAATTGCAAATGCCGAAAGTAGTCCACTTTTTTGAAACGGTTACTTCCCTTTTGTACGTACACTAAAGCCGAAAAATTCAGGGGAGATCACTGCGTAAAGATGGTCAAAGACAGGCGCATCAATTTTCAAGCAAAGTAATTCCCGAATGGTCGAAGATTTCTAATATTGTTTTATTGTATTTTCTGAACGAAAATAACTAAATACAACGCGGACATTCAATCTCTGACACAGAAGTTTACGACAAACCTAACAACAAGTAGTTCTCAAAACAGCTTAAAACTAGCGATTTAAAAGAAAGAAATATTTTATTTTGTTACAAGTATCCAACAAATTACAACGCATTTAAAGTTAAACAATAGCGTTGGATTATAGAATTGTCAATAAATGCACAATCACAAATTACGCGGATGAATATGATTTTATCAATGAAAATACTATTTATTACCGAATACTACACAAACCGAGTAGTGGAATATATAGATTCTACATGTCGGACTGTTTGGGCGAGAGGATTTTCGCTAAAATATTTACTTCAATTTTAAACAATAGGTTTACCCTGAACAAAATACCTCGAAATTAATAAGGATTACAAACCCGAAATGCAATGGAAGTTCTAAATTTAGAATGACTTGATATTATTCAGACTTTCTGTGTATAACTTCTCCGTGGTACAGTGGTAACGCGCTCGCTTAGTGAGTGAGAGGTCTCGAGTTCGAATCCCAGTCGAGGAAACTTTTTTTTTTTGTTAAATTCTTTTTTAAGTGTTTTTGTTAAGGAAGTAGCCATGATATGCAAGGATAAAGTGTGGCTGTCGTAAAAAATGAACATAAATGATTTTTTGATGCAACTCTAGTTATGCAGAATTCCGTATGTATCAAACTCTGGTGCCTTGCAAAATGAATTATAATACATAAAAATAAACCTATACAGGAAAATGCATACAGATATACAGTACGATTTAGATTGCAAAGATCAGAAAATACCACAGAACTTGCAGCCCTTTGATTCTTTATAAATATAAATGCTTATAGTAAGCTCCAGGATTATTTACATCTGTGTTAAACAACAGTTAAAGTCGTTACAAGCCCTAATTTAGAATAGTATGGTTTTCTTCAGCCCGTTCACATATAAATTCACCGTGGCTGAAGGGTTTTCGGGCTCGCTTAGGAAGCGAGAGGTCTGGAGTTCAAATCCCAGTAAAGGTAACTCATTTTTTTTCAAATTGTTAAAGTCAAATAAACATTGGATTGAATATCAGTGTTGCAATTAGTCTTATAGCCAATTTACTACAATTAAAACGCTGGAAAGCATTGTTGGCACTATACATATAATCTCACAACCTGCACCTTTCTTACATTCTGAGACCCAAACAAATTCAGCGCCTTCTGTGCTTTGATTTTATTTACGAAGTAGATAATTATGATGGTTATAAAACAAATATTTCTTGAAAGCTATACCTCAAAGAACAAAAAAAGCGTGGTGTTATACCAAAAGCGTGATGCAGATGTAGAAACCTGGGCGAGCAGAACAACTCTCCTTATTATGTAAGTATAATAGTCAAGCTTAAAATGACATAGTCAAAGAGGGATGTGATTTACTTTAACTGTATGCTAGAATTGGTCAACGGTTAAAAACGAATGGTAATCGAGATAAATTTTGTACATGAAAGATATCAAATTACAAAGGGGAGTTAAGTAAAACTCATTTATGAAAAAAACGAGACTTGTTGTGAGGGCATATTATATTTTTCCCGTCAAATCCCTATGTGATATTTCAAGTCAATATCCTGTGGGCGATGAGATAATGGTAATAATGCAAGCAAAACTTGAATCTGGAATCTTGAAAGTTTACTTAGAAGTACAATTTAGTAAGAATCCATACAATAGTTATAGGTGTTGGTCAGTGCACTTTAACCTTGAAGACAAGTAAAGCATTAAGAGTGGAAGCAATGGGATAAATTTAAATGAAATTAATGACACAGTGTAGAGTAATGTGTCTTTGACGATGTCCTAAAATTATGATCTAAGGAATTTAAAGCAAATAAAAGCAATAGTTAAAATACCTTATTGGAGTGTTGTCAACACAGACAGGAGTGGGTTAGAGGGCTCATTATTCTTCAAATGACCAAATTTCAAACAAAATACTTTTTTTATATGGATGTATTTAATATCTTAAATATTTAGATATACAAATATTATAATATGAAAAAAGGGTTATTTATTTGACAGTGTATCATTATAACATCAAGTAAAATCATTTGTGTTATAAAAAGTCATTTTACAAATACATGTATTCAGCTTCAAAACCAATGTGAAATAATTTTATTAAAACACATCTTTAATCAAACATATTACCAATTTAGAAATTATGAGCACAAAATAATTAAATAAAAGAAAAGTATCAGTAAAGATATAAAAACAATCTTAAACAGCTTATTTTTAACCAGTATATCATAGCAAAAGGAATCAAAAATGTAAATAGCTATATATAATAAAACATAGGTGTATATGAATATAATATCTTTGACTTGAAAAGCATTATAAGCTATCATTCATAACAGATATACTTTACAGACATCTATAGCAAATCATTGGTGAAAATACAAATGATTTTATTAGGATCAATTAATATCACAAATTATTTAATATACTGTATATGCACCAATTGCAATAATGAACATCTTCTTGAAACTATTATATTTATTATAAAAGAAACAACATCTTATAACTCCCCCAAATGTCACCAATAAGAATAGCTTGTATTATGTCAGATATACATATCAATATCTATATGTATACACTATTTTGTTGGTTAGTTAATTCTACTATTTCGTTATACAACAATCACTGTAATCATACATGATTTAGCATCCAAATATCAATATTCAAGCGGAGAGAGACAAAAGTTAAAGCAGCCTTCAGCTTTTCTAAAGGTTAAATATGTTATTTTTAGATAAATCATTTCATATCATTGTCACATCAAATGTATTATGGTGGAAAATGAATTTTGACGTTGATAAAATACATAAACAATAAGGAAACGAAACCAATGGATACCTCTTATCTACCTGACCACTCTCTATATGTGAATTAGTAAAGCAGGAGATTTGTTTTCCTATCATGTCACTGACGCTTTATAAAAAGCTCTTGGAATGCTGGTTTGAAGAAGGCTTAACAGTGATATGATGCCCTTTTCTAAGATTAAATTACTGAAATACTTAGTTTGAAACATGTAAACGTGGTTTGAAACAAAACAGAAATGTTTTTCCAACAAGAAATAAAAGCTGAAAGGTGCTTTAAGTTTCATGGTCCTTATCAATTTATAATATTGTTACAACAAGAACTGTCGGAGGACAGTAACGCTCGACTATTCGAAAATTTGTCACAAGGGTGTTTCATTGAGTACAATAATGCTTACCTATAAGAATACATAAAATTGTCCGAAAAGGTACAAACTCTTCAAGTTTCAATACATTCCCTTCAGTAAGTATGGAGATACAAGCTTACATGCAAAAACTTAACCAAGAATTCATGAGTCGAAAAAGGGGCATAATTATGCAAAGAAGCAAATCAGAGTTATGGGACTTGTACTAATCATCTTAGATAATCACAGAGAACTAGTGTGTGAAGTTTCAATCCATTCCCTTCAGTAGATATGGAGATACCAGCTTACATGCAAAAACTTAACCAAGAATTTCTAAGTCGAAAAAGGGGCATAATTATGAAAAAAAGCAAATCAGAGTTATGGGACTTATGCCAATCATATTAGATTATCACAGTGAACATGTATATGAAGTTACTATCCATTCCCTTCAGTAGTTATGGAGATACCAGCTTACATACAAAAACTTAACCAAGAATTTCTAAGTCGAAAAAGGGGCATAATTATGAAAAAAAGCAAATCAGAATTATGGGACTTGTGCCAATCATCTTAGATAATCACAGAAAAACAAGTGTGTGAAGTTTCAATCCATTCCCTTCAGTAGTTATGGAGATACCAGCTTACATACAAAAACTTAACCAAGAATTTCTAAGTCGAAAAAGGGGCATAATTATGAAAAAAAGCAAATCAGAGTTATGGGACTTGTGCCAATCATCTTAGATAATCACAGAGAACAAGTGTGTGAAGTTTCAATCCATTCCCTTCAGTAGTTATGGAGATACCAGCTTACATACAAAAACTTAACCAAGAATTTCTAAGTCGAAAAAGGGGCATAATTATGAAAAAAAGCAAATCAGAATTATGGGACTTGTGCCAATCATCTTAGATAATCACAGAGAACAAGTGTGTGAAGTTTCAATCCATTCCCTTCAGTAGTTATGGAGATACCAGCTTACATACAAAAACTTAACCAAGAATTTCTAAGTCGAAAAAGGGGCATAATTATGAAAAAAAGCAAATCAGAGTTATGGGACTTGTGCCAATCATCTTAGATAATCACAGAGAACAAGTGTGTGAAGTTTCAATCTATTCCCTTCAGTAGTTATGGAGATACCAGCTTACATACAAAAACTTAACCACATTTATACATTTTTTTCATATTGTACAAAGTTATTTTTGACTAGAAATAAATGATTCTGTGATATGAAAACTGCTTAGAATTTCTGAACAAAATTGAATTTAACATGTTAAATTTTTAAATCTTACTTTAACAAGACCTTATAAGAAAATTAAATAATTTGTCCATTTAAGCATAAATATACCATTACAATCTGGAGACAGCTTGAAACATATTTGATGTATGTAAAAAAAAAAAAAAAACTAAAAAAAAAAAACTTTAAAATCATTGTACAACATGTTTACTGTTAACTTAAATTAATAGAAATGTATAAGCTTTACATGTCAAACTTCTTAGTAAAGTATGTTTAGCTTTTTATTGCACACATTTGACAACGATTAAAATTTCTCGAAAATACATAATCACAAATGAAACTTAATTGGATGTGTCCTATACATGTATATCTTTCTTAAGTAATCTTTCCGATGCCTAGGGTAAACAAGCCCCCCCCTGCCCCCGCCACAATATATATTTCACTTTATATGTTATTTCAAATATGTAGTCTACACAATTATATAGTTCCAGACCAGTTTTACCGTTAAGCCCAACACCACAAACAGAAGAATATCAACAAACAGACAGCACCTAATCACCAAGTAATAGCTCATCATCATCATCAACAATTTGCAAGGAAGAACACTTAATGTATAATAGTGAAAATGAACTGACCATCAACATCTACAGTGTATATGGCACCTTCCAAACAACAATTTAACAAAGGCTAAGAAACTTCGCACATCTTCATAACTTTACTGGCAACTTTCCAAAACTCTATCTATTTTTAGAAAACTTTATTAATTTTGTTATTATTTTTATATATCACGTGACTTACCATCTTACACAATTTTTATACTTTAGATTGATTTATTTTTTGTAAATTTTATCCTGATGAAGGACCAGATAGGTTGGAAACCTGTAGATCTTTATTGAAATTTTGTTCACATTTATCCGGTGTTGACGTGTAGTTTCTTTGTATTCTTCCTTTTCATCTAATTATATACTGTGTTAAACACTACTTAAAGCTACATTTAATAAATTTCACAAAAACAGAAATAGCGACATTTCATTAATAAATTGGGTTTCATAACGACTCCAGATCTTATTTTGGTGTCCAGACAACCAAAATGAGTTTTATAAGCATAAAAAATGGACAACCTCATTGTGGCGAAATCGAAGTACAATTTCTGTTTGCATGAGAAACTCCGCCTTCGGATAATCTGTACATCAATATTATATCAACAAACATTACTATAAGTAGCGGTCCTAATTTAACGGTATATTTCCACATTGTAACAGACGTTTTCATACAAATTTAATCTTTTTTATGAGATGATTACTTTTTCTGAGCATCAGGCCTAGTGCACCGTGAAGCTAAAACGGTTAAAATGTGTTTGCACAAGAAAATCTTATATTTGCTGTGTTCCGGATAGCAACTATAACCCTCTGAAGTCGCGCATACATGAGCTGATTATAGTCTTCAATTGCATGTTAAAATTTGTATACGAACTTTAGTGTTTCCGTTGGGTTTTCCGTTTAAAATCCATTTTTATGAACAATATTTGAGGAGATTTACAACAATACTTTTAAAAAGGTTAATGGAACTGTAGAATGCTTGTTTTTAGGCCGACAGCAAAATATTTTTACATATTTATTAAATGTAGCTTTAACTAAATAATAATTAAATAATTAAATTTGTGTGTATTTAAATATATATATATATTCATATTAGAACATGAATAAAGTTAGCATTCATTGTTTGTTTATTACACTATCACTTATATATCACATGACTACAGCGCTGGTTTTCCTGCTTCTTGTGGCAAGGTCACTCGACAACCTTCACCTTCAGCCATCAGCTGTTCTATTTCCTCCACCGTACGTGGCACTACAGTTAGACACTCCATTCCATCCTCGGTCACCACAATGTCATCTTCAATTCGTACCTATAGACAATATATAATTAAAACCTAAAATCAATTTTGAAATTTTAATTTTTGCACTTTGGAAAAGCTGTGAATGTCCAGCTTTGATAATGCAAGAATAATAATTGCTGTATGTGTAATAACATGCTTGACTATGTTCAGTGCTTTAATGTAAGACAACGGGCATAACTTTGTAAAAAGTTAACTTATAGTTATAAGCACCTGTACCCATCATGTTGGAAAATACAGAGAACAAATTTATGAGGGTTCAACCCATTTCCTTCAGCAGATTTGAAAATAACAACTTGCATAAAAAACCAAAGCGTAATTCAAGCTTCCTCAAAAACAGTACATGTACTTAATTTACACAGAATTACATGTAAGAATGTTCACAAAATACTTAACTTTACAGTACAACTTCACTGAATAAAGTCATACTATACTGAAGTGTTCTCTGAAGTCCTAAAACTATCCTTTTCATGATAAGTGCTAAATAAGACTTAAAATTGAAAAAGTGACCTCTAGCACAGTAGAGGTTAACACTCTATCTGTATATGACCACTTAAATGCAATAACATGGATGTAAAGCCTATCTTACCCCACCAAAACCTCTGTATTGATCAATCACCTCCCTACACATGAATCTGGCTTGGTCAGCATTTGCTAAGGCCTCGTCTAACAACTGTACAAATACAAAACATAGGGTTATCAAGTAGTTATTTTCATAACAGATAGACAGACAATTTCATAAAAACAAGAGGGCCATGATGGCCCTGAGGTCACTCACCTGTATATAGGCCCCCGGAGCGGGGCCAGTTTAAAGACCAGGACTTTTATTTGAACAAACTTGGAAGACACTCATTAGAAGATGTTTCACGATGTTAAGTTTTTACTACACACATATAATGAAAAACAATGATCCCCCCCTCCCCGGCAGGGCCAATTATCACCCGAGGGCTTTTATTTGAACAAACTTGGTAGACACCCATAAGAAGATGTTTTATACTAAACATCTAAGCTCTAGCTCATTGGGTTTTTTAAAAGAAGATTTTTTAAGTTTTTACTATACACATATAGTTAAAAACAAGGACACCCCTGGGGCGGTGCCAGTTTTGACCCCAGGGCTTTTATTTGAACAAATTTTGTAGACACTTACTAGAAGATGTTTCATGCTTAATATCTAAACTCTAGCTACATGTATTTGGGTTTTTTCAAAGAAAATTTTTTTTATGTTTTTGATATACACATATAAGGAAATTCAATGACCCCCGGGACGGGGCCAATTTTGACCCCAGGGCTTTTATTTGAACAAACTTGGTAGACACCCATTAGAACATGTTTCATTCTAAATATCTTAGTCTAGCTCTTTGAGTTCTTTAAAAGAAGATTTTTTAAGTGTTTACTATATCCATATAGGGAAAATCAATGACCCCCTGGGGCGGGCCAATTTTGACCCCCGGGCTTTTATTTGAACAAACTTGGTAGACACTCATTAGAAGATGTTTCATGCTGAATATCTTAGCTCTAGATCTTTTGGTTCTTTAAAAGAAGATTTTTTAAGTTTTTACTATAAATTATGCATATAGGGAAAAAATAATGACGCCCTGGGGCGGGGCCAATTTTGACCCCAGGGATTTTATTTGAACAAACTTGGTAGACACTCACTAGAAGATGTTTCATGCCAAATATCTAAGCTCCAGCTCTTAGGGTTTTTTAAAAGAAGATATAAGTTTTTTCTTTCGGTTGCCATGGCAACCAGAGTTCTGCATGGAATTAAATTCTTTGAACAATTTTTAAAGGTGACCACCAAAGGAACATTCCTGTGAAGTTTGGATGAAATTGGCTTAGTGGTTTATGAGGAGATGACATTTAAAGTAAAAGTTTACGGACGGACGCCAGACGAAAAGCGATCACAAAAGCTCATCCTGTCACTTTGTGACAGGTGAGCTAAAAATGACATTATGTTTTACTTATAAAAATAAATTATTCCTTGTATAATATTATTAGGCATGCCAATCAAATTTATATTTATATTTATCTCTACTTTGAAGAGTATTCAAATAGGCTAGAATCACTTTAAAGTGTATTGAAACTGAGGGGCGTCGGTTCAAACCTAATAATGGGGCAAGTTTTTTTCTTTCTTTTTTTTCTTTTTAATATTTTTTATTAATCTCTCAAATCCCTAATGGAAGAAAAAAGTGTTTGATTTTAATTATATAATTATTGTAGGTATTTATTTACTAAATAATGCCAAATTTAATAGCAAATATGATACTTGATATTTTCAAAGTTAAATAAAATAAAAACTGCATGGTAAAAGTATTTTATATTTTGCAAGACCAACCAATATTTATTCAAAAAAATTTAGGCAAACTTTGAAAACAGCCCCTCATTGTGGAAAAATTTAGGGATATTTTAAATAAGGCTTTTTACATAGGGAAATTGACAAATAAGTGTTAAAAGTGGGTGGGGTAGGGTTACATTTTTATACATATTAAAACATTTCGTTTAAAAACAATCATTTTGCTTGTTTAATTTGTTACCTTAATGTCATTATTTGTTTCTTAACAATGAGCAATAGGAAAACTTTTTTTCATAATGATGATATTATAGATTATTTAGAGTTTCCTCATTTCTGAAAAAAGCCCTTCAAAAGGCAAAGTTTTAGTTCAGAAAAATGTCCATAAATCATAAACCACATGGTACATTATGTTTAAATTTTGCATACAGGTGACATTTAAGGCATATAACTGTCCTATGTTGTCAATTTTACAGTTCCTTATAGTGCCCATTAGGGGTGTTCTACCTTAAAACACTTTCAATGAACAAAATTTTAATGCTATGCTATAAAACTAAAAAATAAGCCCATTGCCCTCTTATATCAGACAGTGACAATTTTGTATTATTCTAAATATTCAATTTAATTTCTTCAAAATATACTTTAAGTCAACTATTCACACAAAGTCACATAAACATAAAGAATCACAACACTTTTCACATGTTTTTTTGTTTTGTTTGCCCACACCTTTTAGTGCCACATAATACAGAATATATACAACACTATTACAAGTGCGATGTTGGTAAAAACATGATACAGTATAACTAGAAATGTGTCCATAGGACAAGGGTGCCCCCACCGTGCCACTGTTCCGTCAATCTTATGACTCTAGGTCAAATATTTTTCGAAAACTAAAAATCTTTTACTAAGTAAAGGGCAAGAACTTTACAAATACTGAATAAATCCACAAGCAAACCCCAAGGTGCATAAGTACACATGCTGACCAACATTCTTGTAAACTTTCAGGCCTACAAGTGAAATACTTTTTGAGCTATGCATGAACAAGTTGAAAATTGTAAATCTATACTACTGTAAGTCAAGGGCAATAACTCTTAACAAAACTGAAAAAAATCCACATGCAAAGTCCCAGATGCATAGCTTCACAGTGTTGTGAATCATTATTCCTGTTATTTAGTGATGTTGATCATTATTCCTGTAAAGTTGGTTGATTCTAACTCAAGCACTCAAGGAACAAATAACAACATAATGAAACGGTCAAGGGAAATAACTCTACAAATACTGGATAAATCCACAAGCGAAACCCCAAGTGCAAAACTAAATATGCTGAGCAACCTTCCCATAAGGTTTAATGACTCTATGTCAAATCCTTTTTGAGTTATATGTGACACAAGTTGAAAATTGCAAAAAATTTCTAAGTCAAGGGCAATAACTCTAAAGATACTAAATAAATCCAAACGAAAATACCCAGTGCACAACTACACATGCTGATCAATATTCCTGTAAAGTTTCATGACTCTATGTCAAATACTTTTTGAGTTAAATGCGACACAAGTTGAAAAGTGCAAAATTTTACTAAGTCAAGGGCAATAACTCTAAAAATACTAAATAAATTCAGACGAAAATATTCAGGTGCACAACTACACATGCTGATCAACATTCCTGTAAAGTTTCATGACTCTAGGTCAAATACTTTTTTAGTTACATGCGACACAAGTTGAAAATTGCAAAAATTTTACTAAGTCAAGGGCAATAACTCTAAAAAATACTAAAAATATCCAGATGAAAATAACCAGGTGCACAACTTTCCCCTGCGATCCCAATATTTGTAAAATTTATGCTTTAGGTCAAATACTTTTTTATTTTCGTCAAAAAAAGAGAAAAAGACGGAAGGGCAAAATTTTTAAACTTTAAAAGCCAAAAATAAGGGGGGACAATAAAAAAGAAAAAATTTTACAAACAATAAAAAAAGAATTTTCATTTTTTTTATAAACTTTTTTTTTAAAAAATTCAACTAAAATTGTTTCCCTTATTACCTGAACAATGGAACCCCTCAAATTTTCTTGAAGCCCTTTCCAAGCAAAAAAAAAAAAGGGCCAAAAAAGAAAAAAATTAACTTACAAAATTTAAAAAAGAAAAACAGGTTTCCCAATTTTGGAACACCTGTTTTAGGGCTCTAATTTTTTAAGTTCTCCCCGGGTATCTATTCTCGCTTTCCCCATTTTAAAAAAACAGATCTATAATTAGCCGGCGTCATGACAAAAACCAAATAGTGCGTTTGCGACCAGCATGGATCCAGACCAGCCTGCGCATACGCGCAGTCTGATCAGGATCCATGCTGTTCGCTATCAGTTTCTCTCCTTGTTATAGGGTTTGTAAGCGAACAGCATAAATCCTGATCAGACTGCACGGATGCGCAGGCTGGTCTGGATCCATGCTGGTCGCAAACCCATTATGTTGGGTTTTGTTGTGATGCGGCTCATATTAATTTAACATTGCAATCATTTGACAACCAGTTTCAAGAACATTACTTATGTATTCTAATGTCCAAGTATCTACCTTTAATTCTAATTTTTAAAGTACAGGATAGAATAATTAAGTTGTAGGCTCTTCAAAAATCTTTTATTTTGAGGGAATCATTTTAATCACATATGCCCCATCAAAAAAATAGGGTAACTACATATCAATAATTGTTAAATGGTTGCCTTTCTACCAGACTACCAACAACTACTTCATTCTATATGAATATCATGTTTAGATTGATTTAACCCTTTGAACAATAATCACATATTGATTGGCCAATATCGCAACTACACATGTATAGGGCAAGCCTTGCAGTCTGAACTGACTTCTGCATTCAAGAATTTAATGGATTTTGTTAAGGTAAGAAAAGAGAGTTCCAAAGTCAAAGTAATTAAGTCTATATACAAATTCAGTAGTTTACAGATTAAGATTAGCTTGAAGTGTATCAAGCTATATATAAGCTTCCTATTTTAAAAAATTATTGCCTGAATTTTGAAAAAGAATACTTCCAAAATATCATATGTGAAAAAAATATGTTTGTTCATTTCCTTAAGAGCAAATGGACCATGCACAAAATAATTGCTTGACTTAGAATAGTAATATTTTTGTTGTGTAACAATTTATTATGTTTATGTACAATAATCATTTTGTTTAATATAAACTATTCTATGTTACAACTCATTTCACAATCAATCATTCCATTATGAAAACAAAATAAGATATAAATTTATTTTCTGAAAAGAGAAAATCATTAGATACAGTTTTTATTTCATGCTTTCTAGTGTTTTACTGTAATATATCAGATGATTATATTCTGATAAACCTTTAAGTGAAATTTATAAAGTATAATTTTCACTGTAGCAGGACTATAATTATATGAATGCAGATGAAAAGAATATCATAACTAAACGGAATAACAGGCAAAAATAAATGCCGTCATATGTAAATTTTGCTTTTTTAATAAAAGAATGTCGATATCATCATACATCATATTAAAAATGAAACAAAATTAGAAAAATTTAACAAAACTATATAGTATATTTCAAAATTGATGATGTGACGTCAGGATGGACCTTATAAAGGAGAATGCGCAATGTTACATGGCAAAATCAGTAAAAAAATACTTAAAAAGCATGAAATAAAAAGAAAATTTAAATTTTTTTTACAAAGTAAGGGTTGAAAACCTTTTTTTCGTAACACCAGCTACTCCCTTACGGGTCAAAACCACTCGTTTAAAAATTGCAAACTGGGGTTCCCCCGGGAAAAATATTTCCCAAACTTACAGAAAACAAAAAAAATTCCCCTAATTTTTTAAAACCCCAAAAAACATGATACCCAAATTTTCCCCTAAAAATTTTTCCTTTAGATTCCCCAACACATGTGTAATTTATTCCCAAAAAGGCCCAACCCTTTGCATAAACACTGGACCAAGTCTCACCTTTATCCTTTTATCAATGGGCACCTTTTACCCAAACCCAAACTTGACTAACATCCCCTTTGTTGTACACGATCAGCCAGCAAATGCATGTCTACCCAAGATACTCCTAAAATTACATATTAAATATAGAATACACAAATAAATGTTTAGACAAGATACTCCTTAAATTTCATTATACATTGTATATAAGATACACAAATAAATGTTTACATAAGATACTCTTAAAATTACATGTTATATATAGAATACACAAATAAATGTCTACCCAAAATACTCCTAAAATTGCTCGTTATGTATAAAATACAACAAGAGCTGTCCGTAAGACAGCGCGCTCGACTTTTTTATTGCTTGCCAATAAAAAAAGTTTTTGCAGTAAAAGGCAATACAAGAATCTCTGTATTTTTAAAGTGAACAATGGCCATGAGCATTAAGATATTTAGTGAAGAATTATTTTACTGAATTGTGTGATACCCTTGAACACTGCAGCAAAGTTTGAAATGTTTAAGTCAAAACATTGACAGTTAAGGGCCATAATTCAAATAAAATCTTTGACAGAATTACCTTCTCCTGGACATGTTTGGGAACCATGATTGTAAACAAGTATTCCAACTTTCAAATTAATATCTCAAACAGTTCAGTCAAAAAGTGGACTGGTACTAAAAACTTAACCAAGATTCTAAGTCGATAAAAGGCCTTAATTTTTAAAACAAATCCTTGACAGAGTTACCTTCTCTTGCGTACAGATGGGGGTAATGATGTGAAATAGCATTAAAAGTTTCAAAGCAATATCTCAAAGGGTTAAGGCAATAAGTGGATTTTACCCATATTCAATGTATTTTCTAAGTCAAAAAGGGGCATAATTCTGTCAAAAACCTTGACAGTTATGTCCTCTTGTCTGTTGATGAAGGTCGTGATGGTAAACAAGTATGGTCAGTTTCAAGCAATACCTCCAATGGTTTTGAAATAAAGTGAGGTGGTACAAAAAACTTAACCAAGCTCAATACACTTTCTAAGTCAAAAAAGGGCCATAATTCTGTCAAAAACCTTGACAGAGTTATGTACTCTTGTCTGTAGATGGAGGTTATGATGGTGAACAAGTATGGTAAGTTTCAAAGCCATACTTGTAATACTTCTGAAATAAAGTGGGGTGGTACGAAAAACTTAACCAAGGTGTGACGCCGACGCCGACGCCGGGGCGAGTAGGATAGCTCCCCTTTTCATAGAAAAGTCGAGCTAAAAATAAATGTCTACCCAAGATACTCCTAAAATTACATGTTGTATATAGAATACACAAATAAATGTCTACCCAAGATACTCCTAAAATTACATGTTAATATAGAATACGCAAATAAATGTCTACCCAAGATATACATAAAAATTCATGTTATATATAGAATATATATATAGAAAACAAAAATGAATGTCCGCTCAAAATACTCCTAAATTTAAAAGTTCATATAGAAGACACAAATGCATGTCCCCTTATGAAAATTGAAGACAGGAATTGGATGTTTTCCAAAATAAATAGTAATGACTTTGCATGTAGTAGTAGTATGTACGTATGGTTACACATGCTTCTCTTAAGATATGATGATTCAGACAAAATATTTCAAGAACCTTTACACTATTAGTTATAAAGATTCTTGACAGGTTATATGGCCCTACATGTATGTAAACGATTGTTTGGAAATATAAACCAAGCCCCTAGATAAGGGTTATATTGCATTCAACCATTTATATACGGCAATATGATCTGTCAGAAATATTTGTAACAAATTTATAATACAGCAAGCATCTCAGGAAAGAGAGATTTCTTCATAAATTGACAGCAGCAGGGTATAAAACTATATAAACGTCATGATTATCAAATGAAAAGCTACATTACAAACATGCAGCATTATAAAATTCCATAAACTTTAACACAAGCAGTTAACCTGCCGTTCTGTATTATTCAAGGCTTTATGACAAACATTAAAACAAGAGCTGTCGGTAGGACAGCAACGCTCGACTATTCTTAGTGCTTGATAGTAAAAAAAAAATGCTTGATACAGTTACCTCCTCCTGTATACAGGTTGGGGTAATGATGATAAACAAGTGTGCAAAGTTTCAAAGCCATATGTCAATGGACTTTGAAAATATTTGAACTATTACAAAAACTTTAACGTAAATTCTAAGTTGAAAAAGGGGCATAATTCTGTCAAAATGCTTGATACAGTTACCTCCTCCTGTCTACAGGTTGGGGTAATGATGGTGAACAAGTGTGCAAAGTTTCAAAGCCATATGTCAATGGACTTTGAAAATATTTGAACTATTACAAAAACTTTAACGTAAATTCTAAGTCGAAAAAGGGGCATAATTCTGTCAAAATGCTTGATACAGTTACCTCCTCCTGTCTACAGGTTGGGGTAATGATGGTGAACATGTTTGCAAAGTTTCAAAGCCATATGTCAATGGACTTTGAAAATATTTGAACTATTACAAAAACTTTAATGTAAATTCTAAGTCAAAAAGGGGCATAATTCTGTCAAAATGCTTGATACAGTTACCTCCTCCTGTATACAGGTTGGGGTAATGATGGTGAACAAGTGTGCAAAGTTTCAAAGCCATATGTCAATGGACTTTGAAAATATTTGAACTATTACAAAAAACTTTAACATAAGTGGTAGCTCGGGTGACTACAATAGCTCTACTTATTCTTATCGAATAGTCAAGCTAAAAATAACAGTTTGCATTCATTACTCCTAAATCTAACGTCTTGATAGCAATTAAAATTCAGAACATGCCTTCATTGTTAAAAAAAAAACACTGGAGCTAAAACTTGAGTATGTTCCATGCCCCCTAAAAGTATTTAAGTGATAGAGAACAGTTCCTTTTGTAACAATATAATAAAACCTGCTTTATAAACAAGTCTCCTAATCGTTAATGACATATTTTTCTTCTGTGTTTGTAAATCGTTGTACTGTGTGAGAATAGGTCACACGTCAATAAAGATGACTTATGTATGTACATGTATATGAAATCTGTCAAAACTTTATCATATGTTTTCAAATTAAAACTGCCCTAATAGTTGACTAATCTAATGACATTAAACAGTGAAAGTGTAGAACTATTTCATGATTAGTTCCTTCTGTTTCAAAGAGTTCATCCAATTAATTATAGATCATATTCTGATAAGTGATCATGATTTTGATTTATATTATATTTGAGCATATACCTAAATTGAATAGTATAAATTCAACCTTTGTTAAAGTTCTGCATCAGGGAATAAATTACTTGCAATGAATAATTAAAAGCAATGACTGCCCGGCTATTTTTTTATGTTAAAGCCAAATACTATCACATGTTTTGTATAGCAATCTTGAAAGATTTGATACAAATTCACTAACACAAAATGAAAGCAATGCTACTTTATAAGTTTGCATCACATACCTGGTTTGACAGTAGCCATGACAGGCTTGCTACATTATATATCTTGTTTGACAGTACCCTTGAAAGGCTTGCTACATTACATACCTTGTTTGGTAGCAGCCTTGAAAGGCTAGCTACATTACATTCCTAGTTTGGTAGCAGCCTTGACAGGCTTGCTACATTACATACCTTGTTTGGCAGTAGCCTTGACAGGCTTGCTACATTATATACCTTGTTTGGTAGCAGCCTTGACAGGCTTGCTACATTACATACCTTGTTTGGCAGCAGCCTTGACAGGCTTGCTACATTACATACCTTGTTTGGTAGCAGCCTTGACAGGCTTGCTACATTACATACCTTGTTTGGCAGTAGCCTTGACAGGCTTGCTACATTACATACCTTGTTTGGCAGTAGCCTTGACAGGCTTGCTACATTACATACCTTGTTTGGCAGCAGCCTTGACAGGCTTGCTACATTACATACCTTGTTTGGTAGCAGCCTTGACAGGCTTGCTACATTACATACCTTGTTTGGTAGCAGCCTTGACAGGCTTGCTACATTACATACCTTGTTTGGCAGTAGCCTTGACAGGCTTGCTACATTATATACCTTGTTTGGTAGCAGCCTTGACAGGCTTACTACATTACATACCTTGTTTGGTAGCAGCCTTGACAGGCTTACTACATTAAGTACCTAGTTTGGCAGTAACCTTGCAGGCTTGCTACATAACATACCTTGTTTTGTAGCAGCATTAATAGATCTGATACTCTTCAAACTAATATTAAATGAGAGCCATGTTATTTTTCAAGTTTGCACCACATACCTGGTTTGACAGCAGCCATGACAGCCCTGCTACTCTTCAGTACAGCATTGTAAATCCCCTTCTGTTTTTCTGTAAACTTGCCATTACATGGATAGGAACAAGTTATATCCGAGGCATAGCAGTAGTACTCTCCGCCCATGTCTAACAAACTTTTTATAAAATGTAAAAGAAAAAATAATCATTCACTTTCAACATTCATTGTATATTACAACACATGCATTAAATTGGTCTCTTTGAGATATTCCTGACAGGTTATATGGCCGCATATAAATAGTTATTTGCAACATAACCCTCCTCTTGAGGCTCAGGTTATATTTCCAAAACAACCATTGATATAGGGCCATATAATCCTTAAAAAAAATCGCTATAAGTAATAATATACTTATAAATATTATTAATATATAAAGTGTTACAAGTTATCACCACACTGTTTAAGTCATATGATGACTTTCCAGCTGCATTGCTGAAGAAAAGCCAAAGGTCCTTCTTTGTATGCATTATTTCAAGCAAAAACTTTAATCTGATTAAAATCATCAAACTTCTGTAAGATAATAAATAAGAGCTGTTCATAAGACAGCTTGCTCAACTATTCTCAGTGCTTGACAGTAAGAAAAGGGGCATAACTCTGTAAAAGGTAACTAAGAGTTATGTGCCTATCATGTTAGATAATCATAGAGAACAAGGAATTGTAAAGTTTCGACCCATCTCCATCAGTAGTTTTGGAGATATGAATTTGTGCTAAAAAACTTGACACTGTCACCAGAACCATTATTTGAGTAAGTACAATAGCTCTCACTATCCTTTGAAAAGTTGAGCTAAAAATACGATTATCACCCATACTATACACTGCCTATAAGTAAATACTGTAACACGTTTCTCCTAATGCCTAACACTTCACCAACACACATCTTTCATGCCTAACAATTTCCATATAAAACATATCCTCTTTGCCAACAAAATAGTCCACATGTCTTAATGCACACACATATCCCAAAGTCCTAACATTGTACCCCGATGCCCGGCAATGTATTCACCGACATTCTTAATTAGTTAAAAACGAACTTACCACATATCCCCATTATGTAATTGCTTACTATTGGGGGCACCTGCATGACCATAATGCAACACTGAGCCATTATCACCGCTATAAAATATATCATCACATCAAATTAATTATTAACTAATATCACTTTAATATATCATTTCTAAACAAAAACTTCAAGGCTTACCCTTAGATGTTAAAACATTAAACAATAAACTGTAAACAGTAAATTCATCAAACCTAAATCCCATGTATTGTACAGATGTGTATGCCAAAATATCTTACTTGTACACAATTTCTATTTATAGAACAGTTCAAAAGAACACTTTCATTTTGTTCTCTTACAAGAAAAGTCTAAGAAATCAAGAATGTTTTGATTATTAAAATATATTATACAATGTATCTCTTTTCAAACAAGAATATCTTTTTCAAGACTTTTTCTTCACAAACACTTTGTATAAGTTCATTTTTACATACTTAAATAAAAAGAGGGCAACAATGCGGGTTAAAGTATAAAATTACCTTCCACATATACAGGTGTATGACAGATGCCTGAGTCCACCTTGGAAATAGCAATAGTGGTGAAACATACTGCAATGTAATATAATGTACGTTATATTTGACATTTGTAATGAACATACCTACAGCAAACACCATTACCCCAGGCTAACTGTCTACAACCACCCAACATAAAACAACTGTTCATAAACAAACTGAAATATATCATTAAAGGAATCAGGTAGACTATATTGTGATTGTAACATGTTATAATCATCAGCCTTATTATCACCTAACCTAGAATCAAAATTATTTGTGATTACTGTCATCATCAACAGTGGCATGTATTATTATCATAACTATGATCATAAATGTTATATCATCATCTTTATAAATCATCATCTTCAATAATCATAATCAGCATCATTTTCAATCATCATCAATCATCATCTCCTCCTCTAAATCATCATCAGCATAATCAACATCATAATTATCATCTATCTCAATCATCATCATTATCAATTATCATCGTCATCATCATCTCCTCTTTCTCCAGTCATCATCAGCATAATTATTACTATCATACTTATAATCACAGGCAACTCTTTAAGAATAATTTTTCAAATGAAAATCATCAGAACCAAGGTCATTTTGACATCTAATCAACATGAAATAATACCATACCTCTCCATTTGATACTCATACATCCCTGGTTTCACATTTCTCATCACCTACACAAATATAAAAACATTATCCATAAGTTAGGTAAACATTAAACAACTATTTAATATACTGAACATGTAAATTTATTTCATGCCTTTGACAGGAATTATTTTAAATACATAATTGATACTTTAATAAAAAACCTGTCCACAGACAGCAAGCTCTACTGTTCTTAGTTTGGGGTAAAATCAACATGGAAAGTGGGCATTATGCCGCAAATTTTCTTACCAGACTTACCTGCCCTTGATAGTCAACAAATATTTCAAGTTTAAAGTGAATACCTTTTTTTACCCTAATACAACTGTATGATGACAACTGGAAATGTTTAAAAATTCTGCTGTATCTGTTAAATAAAGTAACTTTAATTGTGTTTGTGTTACAAGAAAAAATACCTCCTTGTGGGCCTCACTACTGATTCTGTTTGTGTATCTCAACACCTCAAGTTCCATATCGGACTTGAACACACGACTGAAAGTATTCATTTACACTTCAATCAACTAAAAATATTCACAACAGTAAAATCAGTTATTAATAGTCATAATACGTTATTTATCAAGAATGACTACTCTGTCAATCTTGTTTGATTTTATTCTCTACACTGAAAGATTATGTCCCTTTGACCAGTCAGTTGTTTATCTATTTAACCACAAATTAGGGTCATCTGAGTGCATTCATTTTGTTATCTGAAAAAGGTTATCATTTTGTTATCTGCAGGTGTGTTTTACCTTGTATACATTATCTAAACAAGGAATGCAAATGATGAATGGATGGTGTTATGTGTTAATCATTTGATGACCAGCTACGCTCAAATCAGTCATTTTAATCAAGCCTTATCATTATTGATACAAACATGGATAAAGTAAACTGTAAAACTTACATAGATTATTAAGCTTTTACAGAATTTAATTAGTCAAGAGTGGCCAATTTAATTTTTCAAATGCTTACTAATGAACACTAACCAACTTAGTATTATCATTTTTATAAACTGCTGATTTATTACATTAGTTAACTAAAGCTGATTCACCAAAAGTTTTGCATCACAATTCTTTTCAAAAACTGCAAATGTACTGGACAAAAATAATTACTTACACTTATGTCTGATAAATTAGGACTTGAAAATATGAATACCTAAACACAATAAGTGAGGCAATGGATATTCACCATTAGATTCTACATATATTATGATTAGTATGATACTAATACACTTGCCTAGAAGATTTGAGTAAATTGTAAACAAGCTTCTATAATATTGCACATTTCTCACATTGCTTTTCATTGGATAATTATGATGTTTTATTTAACCTATATACACAGCTGCTATCGATTTATAAAATCATTTAATTTCTTTTCTTAAATATATGAAGTTTAATGTATCAAGATTCGTGGTAGGTTATATGGCCGTATTTAAATAGTTGTTTGCAATATAACCCTTCCATAGCGGCTTGATATCTGCAAACAACTGTTTAAAAAGGAAAAAAACTATAAATACAGGGATTATCACACAAATTAAAATTCCACAATTATTTTTCCTTTTTTATCATTTAATTTTAACTAAAGATTTCTATTACCTCAAAAACCAGACTTACCATTCAGAAATTTCTGGGTGAAGGATTTCATTATTCACTTTGAACCTGCAAGAAAATATAATTGAAATTCTTAAATATATCAAAAGCAACAATTAACCTCAACAGTCACACAGACTCCCTAAAGCTAAATGAACCTCAACAGTCACACAGACTCACTAAAACTATGTTAACCTCAACAGTCACACAGACTCACTAAAGTTAGATAAACTTCACCAGTCACACAGACTCAATAAAACTTAGTTAATCTCAACAGTCACACACACACAATAAAGCTAAATGAACCTCAACAGTCACACAGACTCACTAAAGTAAGATAAACTTCAACAGTCACACAGACACACCAAAGCTAGGTTAACCTCAACAGTCACACAGACACACTAAAGCTAGGTTAACCTCAACAGTCACACAGACACACTAAAGCTAGGTTAACCTCAACAGTCACACAGACTCACTAAAGCTAGGTTAACCTCAACAGTCACACAGACTCACTAAAGCTAGGTTAACCTCAACAGTCACACAGACACACTAAAGCTAGGTTAACCTGAACAGTCACAAAGACACACTTAAGCTAGGTTAAACTCAACAGTCACACATACTCAATAAAGCTAGGTTAACCTCAACAGTCACAAAGACTCAATACAGATAGGTTAACCTCAACAGTCACACCATCTCAATACAGCTAGGTTAACCTCAACAGTCACAAAGACTCAATAAAGCTAGGTTAACCTCAATAGTTGCAAAGACTCAATACAGCTAGGTTAATCTCAACAGTCACACAGACTCAATAAAGCTAGGTTAACCTCAACAGTCACACAGACATACTTAAGCTAGGTTAACCTCAACAGTCACAAAGACACACTTAAGCTAGGTTAACCTCAACAGTCACAAAGACTCCCTAAAGCTAAATGAACCTCAACAGTTACACAGACTCACTAAAATTATGTTAACCTCAACAGTCACACAGACTCACTAAAGCTAGGTTAACCTCAACAGTCACAAAGACACACTTAAGCTAGGTTAACCTCAACAGTCACACCATCTCAATACAGCTAGGTTAACCTCAACAGTCACAAAGACTCAATAAAGCTAGGTTAACCTCAATAGTTGCAAAGACTCAATTCAGCTAGGTTAATCTCAACAGTTACACAGACTCAATAAAGCTAGGTTAACCTCAACAGTCACAAAGACTCAATACAGCTAGGTTAACCTCAACAGTCACACCATCTCAATACAGCTAGGTTAACCTCAACAGTCACAAAGACTCAATAAAGCTAGATTAACCTCAATAGTTGCAAAGACTCAATACAGCTAGGTTAATCTCAACAGTCACACAGACTCAATACAGCTAGGATAACCTCAACAGTCACACAGACTCACTAAAGCTAGGTTAACCTCAACAGTCACAAAGACTCATTAAAGCTAGGTTAACCTCAATAGTCACACAGTCTTACCAAAGCTAGGTTAACCTCAACAGTCACACAGACATTCTAAAGCTAGGTTAACTCAACAGTCACACAGACTCACTTAAGCTTGGTTAACCTCAACAGTCACATAGACTCAACAAAGCTTGGTTTACCTCAACAGTCACACTCTTACCAGCTAGATCAACCTCTACAGTCACACAGTCTTACTAAAGCTAGGTTAACCTCAACAGTCACAAAGACTCACTCATGCTTGGTTAACCTCAACAGTCACACAGACTCACTAAAACTAAGTGAACACCAATAGCCAGAAAGACAAACTAGTGCCAAGTTATCCTTAACAGACACACAAGAGCCTGATCAACCTGAAAAGCCACATAGATCTACCAAACACTATAATGTAAGCTGCCTACATGTATTACTTTATTATAACATGTATTATTATTTTTATTATTATTTTACATCCAAAAAACAATAAAATCAGACAGTTTCAATTTAATACATGGCAAGTCCATTTTTTCAAAAACCTATCATGGAAAAGAATGAATGTCGTAACACTGGGTAAAACTTAAATAACAACAGATACTTACTCGCTGATGCCATCAAAGGCGGCCTCTCTACTGTATTTACCACTATCAGTATTCAAACCTCGCTGTAATATAAACAAAACACCTTTAATGATAAACATAAACTGCTTTTTACATTTATAATGAAAATTAGTGTCCAGTTTTATTTGTCAATCAATGAAAACACTGTATTTCTTAAAAATTTTGTGTCAATTAAAGTCGATACAATATCAAATTCCGTTCATAGTAGCCTTCTATTTTTCAAAAAGCTTCATAGAACCACGTCAGTGAATATTAATAAATAAAGCTTGTCACTAAGTATGTTAGTATTCATCCATAGCTGTTCTACAGATATTAAAAACATTTTCGGGTTGCTATAATTCTCCTGTCAAAGTTTCTAATTCCTGTAGAACAGCACAGGTGAACACTACAATATACATAGTCATAATGTTATAAGAAAATTAAGTTAATATTAATTTTCTGCAGACATTATAACATAAAAATCATTGTGCCAATTTGTAAAAATCATTTCAAAAGAAGACAATACCAACATTTCATAACTTATCAAAAACAAAAGTTGACCGAGTCTCAGGCATTTGCATTTAAATTCACTGGTGATAATAACATAAATGATGCCTTTTACAAATCTCAATTAAAGAATTTAAAATATACATATATTATGTTATAGTATTTCTTTATGCTATTAAAAGAATAATTACATTCTTCATCTATGCAATTCAATATACTTGTGTAAATCAATTTGGTTCATTTAAGTGGAATTTATAGGATTCAAATAGACAAGGGTAAATTTACAGAGTCAATAGTATTAAGTTTGGTCAGACCAACTTATCAAATTATCAAACTGGGGCCAAGGTTATAAAGAAATAGTCTAATCTCAAACTCAGATCTCAGGTATTTGATTGATCAGAAACAGGCACAGAATGTGAATTGACCAATTAAAATGCTGAGATTCAAGCTTGATCTCTGGAAAAGGTTTTATAAACTTGGGGCTTGGTCTTGAAAAACAACTATTTATAATAATGGAAAGAGAGAGTTAACCTTGATACTAAATCACAATTCTTTTGCAATATTTTAATCATCTTAGCATTTACAATTAAGACCCAACTAAATGAACTTCTGTAAGAAGATTTAACAGCACAGCCCTTACGGAATTCACTTATAAGTCACTTATAGGCTATTTTATATGTAGATTATACTTCACTTAGTCAATTCACCTATAAGTCAAGTATATGTATTTTAAATGCAAATTAGATGTAAGTGCAGTATATGTCTGGCATTTTGACATATAAGTGAAGTATAAGTTATATATAAGTCACAAATATGTGACATGTAAGTCAAAGATATGCTCAACTTATAAGTAACATATAAGTGACTTATATGTTACATATAAGTGACTTATAAGTTACATATAAGTGACTTAATATAAGTCACTTATAAGTAACATATAAGTCACATACAAGTCACATATATGTTGCTTGATGTCAAAAAAGCTTGAAATAAAATAAAAGTTTAGTAATTTAATTTCAAAAATGTTTATTAATTTATATTCATAGTCATATAAATGAGCAAAAATACAAAATTCAACATACATATCCTTCAGTTCAATCATCTTACATTCACTATAACAAAAACAATATTCATTTCTAGCAGCAAGTCTTTTGTTTTTTACTGGTTTTCTTGGAATCAAACACTTTATTTATACAATTATTTTGCTGGAAGTCTGTCGGTGAGGAACTGTTCAAATCATAAATTTGATCAAATGTTTCTGATTATTCAAACTACTATTTCTTTTATTGATGTCTGTTTCAGTGCTCTGCTTCTATTTCCTCGGAGAACTTCATGTGGCTGTGTTCACCTTTAAAGATAGAATTCATAATTAATTAAAAAAGATGTGGAATAAATTGTGTACTATTGTATATGCAGTTATATTTCATATTTTTTATATCATCAAACTATATTAGCTATTTATGCTTATGCATATACAAAATTCCTAAGTTACACAGTATCTCATTTTAGTGCACAAGTCAACAGTGTTGTTTAAGAATTGCTAAAAGTCTCTATAAGAATTGATTAACTGCACTATTTGCAACAACATTTGTTATGCTCTTTTCTGTGAAAGATTTAGAGCAGTAAGTATAGAGATTAAAAAATATACCTTTTCTGGCTCAATACTGCATATCATTATTCACCTGGCATCTCAAAGTAAGAACTGGTCCCACTAGCCTGCAATGTATGTAAATTGTAATATCAGATTTATCCATTGAAAACAACAATAAAATGATAAATGATTATGATGACCATGTCTTATTCAGCTGCATAAAACTACTGATTGTACTATTTAGTTCTAAAAATTCAATTAATTTGACTATTAAATCTAGATTTAAAAAATCAATTACATGACTGTATTAGTAAATCTAATGTATGAAGCTTAGAAATAAAAACAGCCTTGATCTCTCAAGTTACAAATTTTAGTTTGCTGCCATCTTACTTTGATTGTTTAATATATAACCTGTATCAATTCTGCATAAATGTAACTCAAAGGTATTTACCTGATTTTGTTGTATATCTTCTTGTCCAAGGTGATTCTTCTTGTCATTCTTATTTACCATAACTATACTTAAACATCTTAAACAAAACAATATCTCTAAAATTCCTAAAACATCAAGTAGATTCTCTGTGATTTCTCACCAGCTCGCTAACCTAAATGTTTTCAGGACTTACAACTGTGTACCTGGGCAGGTCCAATGTTATGTAAAACAGGGTATATCCAAAAATCAAAGCACTCATCAGTTCTGTCTTACAATCATTGAATGTGAAAAAAATCAAATAACTAAATAGATATGTAAAGTTTAAAAATCATTATACATTTTTGAAAAAGAAAATGCAATGTCCTTTTTTACAAAATTCAGGATAGGAAATGTTATCTTTCCCAAAATAATCACATGGAACAGTCTGATTTGTAGGAATGACCAGTCAAAAAATTAGTCATGCACATATGGTGGCAAAGGCAGGTGGCCAGTTTTATCAGACCTCTGATCTATGTGGTGTATCAGTGGATGTAGAAAATATAAGCAATCTTCAGGCATATTGGTTCCTTGATTTTATATAGATTAAAAAGGCAATATAAACTGTTTATTTCAAGCACTGTTTTTTTTATTGTTTAAATATCTAAAATACACTAGGCCTAAATGTCTTAAAAATAACACTCCAACTTGTATATTAAAAAAAATACACCTCTTTTTCTTGTTAGAATATCTTACTTCCCAGAAATTAGGTCTGTAAGAAGTACAGTTGGTAAAAACATATAGATTTCAATGTCTGTTTCAAGTTAGAAAAAAAACAAGAGTAGAATTATGCCTTGGGTGACTTTTATGTGAAATATTTTCCTTGTGAGAAGAAATGACATGGAATTTCATTTCTGTCCATGGTAGCCTAGAAATCACTGATTGAATGCCATTTCTGTCCCAATTCCGCACAGAATATGTACCAAAATTTTTTACAGGTAATATACTTAATTGATAATCATTTTTCCTATTTATCTTATATAAAAACCCCCAGCTGTGATAAAAAATTAATAAGCAACATTTAAAAAAAAATCTAAATTGTTTGTGATTAAGGTCTAAGATTATAGTATTTTAAATTCTGAGTATTTTGATACCCATTGTGTTAAAGCAAAGAATTACAAATCAACTTCAATAAATTTTATCAATTTTTCTCATGTTTTTGTACTTAGTAATTTTTTCAGCTTTGCTCAGTAATAAAAAGTCTTGCAAAAGTTTTCACTTATATCTAACATAGAAACTGGTTACTCCAAACTTCACCAGTATAAGGCACTTATAGGTGACTTGTATGTGACTTATATGTTGAATAAAAAATGGCCAAAAGTGACTTATATGTAGCATATACCTATAACTGACTTAGACAGGTTTTTAGGTGATTTATAAGTGACTTATATGTAACTTATAGTTCTCTTATAGGTCAAGTATAAGTTGCATATAAGAAACATATAAGTCACTTAAAGTCATTTTGGTAAGGGAGCACAAAAATAATTTATGGAAATAAGAGCAGGTACTCTTTTAAGGCCATGAATAAGGTACCCAAAATATGGTGGTTTTCTTTTTTGCACCATATACCTTATAAGTACTTTTTTCTGCGGGAACTTTATTTCTACTTTTTTTGCGGTTAATCCAACACCGCAGATTTAAAAACCGCAGAAAATTAAGCCTTCCCCTATGTATATGTACATTTGTTTGTTTGTTCCCAACAGTATTTCAGTCATATAGACTGGTAGTTTCCTAACCTAACCATCGTTCCTGGAGAGTTACACCAGTACTAGACTATCTTCCTCCGTGCTAAACTACCAAAGCATCTCCCGGGGATCGAACAGAGAGGTAACTATATTAGAAGTATGATGATCGGCTCTAACCCCTCGACCACGGAGGCCGTCAAATATTTCAACTACCGGTATTGTATAATTACTTAACCATGTATCATTATCGGCTTTTGTAGAGATTAACATTAATGGTATTGGGGATTCTTATGCATTCGTTTAGAAAAAATCGTTACTTTGCTTGTTCTTTTCTTTTTAAATAATTTAAAACATTTTATTTAAAAATTTCATATTTTCCTTTTTTAAAGAATAAAATATTTTCTAAGGCATAATAGAAAAAAAAGTTAAAACTAATTTAATGAACCATCTATCAAGAGTTGTAAGTCATTAGTAATATAAGTGTTCAACTATTATAAAAATATAATAAGCAAAATACCAATGTCAGCAAAACAGAGGGAGATTTTTCTTTCAGCACATTGGCGATCTGAAAAAAAAAAATGGAGAAAAAAAAACACATATCAATCACAAATCATTACATCATTTCTTTATATACACAGTTTAGATTACATAAATGACAGTGACTCAATTTCACAAGAAATATATAATAAAGTCTCTAAGTTTGATATAAAAATATTTGTACATCAGACTAACTTCATTGCATATATACCATTTTATTTCATTCAACTTAACTGTTATACATGTATATAGTCTCAACCATTTAAACAGATGTAATTATAAAGCACATCTTTATGAAAAGAAAGACATAACAACATTTGAGCCGCGTCATGACAAAACCAACATAATGGGTTTGCGACCAGCATGGATCCAGACCAGCCTGCGCATCCACGCAGTCTGATCAGGATCCATGCTGTTCGCTTACAAACCCTATAACAAGTAGAGAAACTGATAGCGAACAGCATGAATCCTGATCAGACTGCGCAGATGCGCAGGCTGGTCTGGATCAATGCTGGTCGCAAACCATGTCGGTTTTGTCGTGACACGGCTAATTTGTTAAACAAATACTTTTAGTTAAAGTAATAAATGAAGAAGGAAGTTAAGGTATTTTCCTCTTTTTGTTTGTATCTTTTTGGTTATTCTTAAATCAAACAATGTGCGTTTGTTTTCAAATGCTACAAAACAAGTAGTTAATTGTTTGTTTTCCTACTTGCGTCAAAGCGTAAAATACCATGATCTAAAAGCACAGTATATCATTAAGTAAACGTATATCTTACCTCTGGTATAAAATAGGTCTCATCTACCTCATAGCGAACTTTAAAATCTTCTTCCGTTAACAGTCTGAAATTATTCAACATTATGTATGAAAGCTTATAATTAGGTCATAAGTTTAGGTACTATATCATGTTAGACTATTCAACTTTTATTCTGAATAAAAGCTTGAGTATAGGCAAGGAAAAATAACCCATGAGCATGTATCTATTTAAAGATTATAACTTCTTTTTTCATTCTTACTAAAACTATCTTTTTTTGTAAAAACATTATTTTACAATTTAGATACAACCTCTCATTATCCATTCCCTCTCCCATTTGTTACAATGTTAAATACATGTAAAGTTGTAGTATTAAATTCATTGGTTGAAATGAAACAATATGATCTCCTATTTTTTGTTTATTTAGCTAGTCATAATTGTATTCTTTTATTGTGATATTAGTTGACTTTAGTCTGTTATTTTCTGTTCATTTGTTTGTTTTAACCAGTTGCATATTATATGCCTTGGTTTCCTATAGCAACCTAAAATTTAATTGAGCCACGTCATGACAAAACCAACATAGTGCGCTTGCGACCAGCATGGATCCAGACCAGCCTGCGCATCCGCGCAGTCTGATCAGGATCCATGCTGTTCGCTTACAAACCCTATTAAAAGTAGAGAAACTGATAGCGAACAGCATGGATCCTGATCAGACTGCTCGGATGCTCAGGCTGGTCTGGATCCATGCTGTTTGCAAACCCATTATGTTGGTTTCCTCATGACGCGGCTCAATTCTTATTTGAGGTAATAACTTACTTGCCCATCCAAACAGAATATGCATCAGGTAGTTTAGGTGGGAAGAGTATAGCTTTTCCTGTATCTACCTCAAGAACCCCATAGAAATCAGGTTCCTCAACTCCAAACATCCAGTGAAAAAATGATTCCTTTAAAATAAAAATAAATGGATAGATTAAATTTGAAAAACAACCTCATACAAACTTGACCTAAAGGGTAGGACCATATGATTCCCTAAATAAAATAAAATTACCTATGACATATTTCAAAAAAATGATTAAAAGTTCTTTATTAAAATAAAGCAAAAATCAGAGACCATATAATTTCCAAAGTAAAAATTAATGCTCAAAACTGTTAGTTATACTTGAATGAAAAATCCATTACACACATACATTGTTGAAAAAGTGTCCATTTATATCAGTCAGTGGCTTTTTTATGTGTGTGTTTTTTTGGGGGGTTTTCTGCAGTTTTAGTGTCAAAATAGGGCCCAATTCACAAAGCCAAAAAATATTGTGTTTTCAAATTGCAGTCATAAACAAAACTGCCAATGACTTAAAAACATGAGAAACAGAGACATTGAACTATGGGACATTGTTTTAGAAGGTATTTATCATGAATCAAGGCATTTTCCAACACATATTTTAATTTTTTCCTCCATTAAATAAATAGCTAAATTTTAACAGTATGAAATAGGACTATATTCATTAACAGTTTCCATAATTTAAAGGGCCACAGGCTTTTTCACAAAAAAATAGAACAAGAGGGCCAAGATGACCCTTGATCTCTTACCTGACCCATCAAACTCATCCGAGCAATTACCAAGACAAGCATCCTGACCAAGTTTCATGACAGTTGAGTCGAAAATGTGACCTCTACAGTGTTAACAAGGTTTTTCCATATCTGAGCCCTGTGACCTAGTTTTGACCCCAGGTGACCCATATTTGAACTTGACTTAGAAATCATCAGAACAAACTTTCAGACCAATTTTCAGGATATTTTGATCAAAACAATAGCCACTTAGAGCTTGAACAAGATTTTTTCTATTTTTAGCTCCTTTGACCTAGTTTTTCATCCAAGATGACCCATGTTCGAACTCATTCGAGCAATTACCTAGAAAAACATCCTGACCAAGTCTGATGACAATAGCCTTTGATACAGACATGTCAGACATTAAGTAATCTATGGATAGCAGGACAGCCTCATGGGTTCAAAAACCATCAGAGGCAAGCCGTTGTTTCTGTGAGCAAGAAACTCCACACTCATTGCTTAGTACTGGTTGGTTCAAGGAAAGGATTTGAAGTTTTTTTTCAATAAGCTTATAGCTTCCAACACAATCAGAAAATTTGCAAAAATAAATTTGTATATACTAAAGAATCCAAAGTCCCTGCCAGAAATCGTACCTACAGAAATGAGGGGCAAGTGGTCTGAAGCCAGCAACCTTAACCACTCAGTCACGGACACCCAAAATTAGTTCAACATAGCACTAGACATGATAGGAATTTATGTGAGCTCAAATCCCACCAATGTTAGGATCAAGCTTCCTGAACTTTGGCAGTTCTACCCCGATGCCTTCTGAAATAATGATTGGTGGTTGTCCATTATTCTTCCTTTCCAGTAAAGCCAGAAAGTCATCAAAATACCTTTTATAACAGTTTGTCCGATTAGAAATAAAACAAATATCAAAACATTTTACTTGTCTGAACAAGGGTTCATGATCAGAGCAATTTCTTGTGTCAGCCTCCCCTCCTTGTAATAGGACCATTGCCCCCTTTGGCACATCTTTGTTTTGCCTCAGTCGTGCACACAGTTTTTCCCTGTTCTGCTTAAACATCAGCATAGGAACAACCAATGTGTGGCTACCTCTGCAATACGCTGGCCTAATTATAACATAAAACAATAATTTGTATAACTAAGAACTTTTATTTGTATTAAATTTTGGTCCAACTGAAATGAATCTTAGCACTTAATCAACATTTATATTCACTCACTTGTAATCATAGGATAGCTGTTAAAGCACAATTTGTTTTTGTTCTAACAAAAAAAGGACATTAAATACTAAAATAATGATTTTTCAACTTTGATACTTTATCTATCTTCCATGAAGGTAGTTGACTTAATATTTTAAACATTGATTAAAAGACAAATCTACTGTGCTATTTAGATTGCATGTACATTGTATACATAGATATGAAAAACATGTGTCACAGGGTGAGAAAAATGTGCAGCATGACAGGGACTTGAACCCGGAACCCTCGGAATATCGTTCTGCGGCTCTACCAACTGAGCTATCCGGCCGCTTACACATCTTCTCCCCTTAATAGTGAATAGTTCTAAACCGTGACATTATTGTAACTCCCCTGCTATAATAAAATTCGTCCTCGAATTTCACAGAGTTACAGAGCAATGTGAATTAAACTCTGAGCTATCAGTCATGGTCCCCCGTTGGGGCCAAATGTCACAGGGTGAGAAAAATGTGCAGCCTGACAGGGACTCGAACCTGGAAACCTCGGAATACTGTTCCACAGCTCCACCAACTGAGCTATCTAAGCCGCTTACACATCTTCTCCCCTTAATAGTGAACAGTTCTGAACCGTGACACATGTCTTATTTTAAAAAAATAAGAGAGGCAAATATGGGGAAGTTCTCTTCAGAGTTATATACCTTGAATATTACATGTTATAGTGGCTGCCTGTTGGAAATTTTGTTCTTGACAGGGCTGCAGATAACATGCGTATTTGCGTTATTACCCAATTAAAATGTCTTAAAACCCAATAGAAATAATAACTAAGGGTAAGAAAAAGCCGCTTACACATCTTCTCCCCTTAATAGTGAACAGTTCTAAACCGTGACATTATTGTTACTCCCCTGCTATCATAAAATTCGTCCTCGAATTTCACAGAGTTACAGAGCAATGTGAATTAAACTCTGAGCTATCAGTCATGGTCCCCCGTTGGGCGCCAAATGTCACAGGGTGAGAAAAATGTGCAGCCTGACAGGGACTCGAACCTGGAAACCTCGGAATACTGTTCCACAGCTCCACCAACTGAGCTATCTAAGCCGCTTACACATCTTCTCCCCTTAATAGTGAACAGTTCTGAACCGTGACACATGTCTTATTTTAAAAAAATAAGAGAGGCAAATATGGGGAAGTTCTCTTCAGAGTTATATACCTTGAATATTACATGTTATAGTGGCTGCCTGTTGGAAATTTTGTTCTTGACAGGGCTGCAGATAACATGTGTATTTGCGTTATTACCCAATTAAAATGTCTTAAAACCCAATAGAAGTAATAACTAAGGGTAAGAAAAAGTAAATGAATTCTTATTTATGCAAACTGACATTTGAACTGGTGCGTAATAACGTAAATTATTACTTAATGCTTACATCAGGCAGATCATACTGTTTCAGACTGTTATAACCTTTAAATTATATCAGGCAGCTTGGAAATCTCTTAGGCCAATAAACCATAAAGCAAAGTTAGGAGTAAGTAGCTTTTTCATAACCATACAAAACCTACAACAGTCTACAATGTAGGTCAGGAATTTTGGGTAAAATACATGAACTTGTGGTTGGTTAGAGGGGGTAGGGTAAAAAATACAGAAATAACTCTAAGAAAATAGAAAAAACCCAATAGATCACAAAACAGGGGGTAATTACCCAATATACACAAACAACAGGGTATGATTTTATAATAGTTTTACCATTATTTACAAGACAGATGAAATGGAAAGCCTGTGATCACAACCCGGTATTACGTTGTAAAAGAAAACAGCATTGACTGCCAATGATAGATGAAAAAAATTCTTACAATTACCCTGTTTTCCACAGAACTACCCTTTAGTATAATTTGATGACTCACTTCATTGGCAATTCACCCCAAAACAATTTGCCCCACTTAATGGATGATTCAACCAACTTTAGAGACCAGCAATCTTACCATTTCTTAATATTAATCAAAGGGCTGCAAGCTCTGTGGTATTTTCTGATCTTTGCAATCTAAATCGTATTGTATATCTGTATGTGTCTTCCTGTATAAGTTTATTTTTATGTACTATAATTCATCTTGCAGGAACCAGAGTTTGATACATACGGAATTTTACATAACTAGAGTTGCATCAAATAATCATTTATGTTCATTTTTTATGATAGCTACACTTTATCCTTTCATATCGTGGCTACTTCCTTAACAAAGACACTTAAAAAAGAATTTTAAAAAATGTTGACTCGACTGAGATTTGAACTACTGACCTCTCACACAATAAACGAGCGCGTTATCCCTGCACCACGGAGAAGTTATACAAACAAAGTATGAATAAAATCAAGTGATTCTAAATTTAGAATTTCCATTGCATTTCGGGTTTGTAATCCTTATTAATTTCGAGGTATTTTGTTCAGGGTAAACCTGTTGTTTAAAATTGAAGTAAATAATTTAGCGAAAATATTCTCGCCCAAACAGTCCAACATGTAGAATCTATATATTCAACTACTCGACAGTCAGATTTATTTGCGTAGTATTCGGTAATCAACATCGCTAAAAATAGCATTTTCATTGATTAAAATTATATTCATCCGGGTAATTTGTGAGTGTGCATTTATTGACAATTCTATAAGCCAACGCTACTTTTCAACTCTGAATACGTAGTAATTTGTTGGATACTTGTAACAAAAAATTGTTCCCTCTTTTAAATTGCTGGTTTTTAAGCAGTTTTGAGTGAGAACTACTTTGCATTGTTAGGTCTGTTAGGAAATTTTGTGTTAGACCGTGGATGTTAGCTTTGTATTTACTGATCTGCGATCAGAAAATACAAAAATCGTTTTAATAGGGGGGATTTGTCACCAATCTGTGGTAATTTGTCACTAAAGTGCGGCGACTCCTTGTGGGTGCGTTTTGTTAATGCAACGAATCATTATAAATTTCTCTAAGGTTGTATGGGTCATATATGATTCCAGTTGATTGGTGCATTTACATGTAAATAATGGCTATATCCTGGATAAGACCCCGGGGTCTAAACCTGGAGTAAATATAAGGTTCATTCCGTTTTCTCTAGTGTATTATATACAAGTTTTACTCCTGAAAAATACATAGGGGTCTTTTATACTTGCATTTTTAAACAATTATTGATTACAAAGCGAGAAAAATACTCACTTAATATCAATTTTCTTAAATATAATAGTATATAATATAATTATTCCAGTCTGGCTATTGACTATGAGGTGAAATTACTATGAACGAAATGTCTAGGGACGAAATGTCTAGGGGCGAAAAAAATGATACCAAATAAAATGCTTTATCCTTACATTTAAAAGTTTTTCACAAAAACATGAATTTACACAGTCGCAAAAAAAGAATAGGAATGATAAAAATGTATATCAGAATACGTACTCAACTCTCCCAGATGCCATGATTTAAGAAAAAATACAATTTAATAAAAGTGAAAGTAGACTTTGATCGCCCGTCAGAAGTCCAATCAGTATCTTTGTGAGGGTTTGCCTAAAATACGAAAGTGAGATTTTTGACGAAAGTGAGCGAAAGTGACTTTTAAAATATTAATAGTAACCTTGTAATAGACTTTTACAATATAATTGCAGTTTGTAGACGTATATTATTAGAAATGACTTATAATTATTATAAAAAATAATCATAATGATGATTTATTCGGTTTTTATTTGCATAATTTATATACACAAATTCTTATATCTTCCTTTCGCTTACATTGAAAAATACGAAAGTGACTTATAAAATATAAAATATACCGTTTAAATTGAAATTATATTTACTAGTATTGCACAAAGTGGACGTATAATATCAGAAAATGATAATATTTACTTTCAAAGATAATCATTATGATGATTAAATCGCCATTTATTTACACAAGTTATATACAGAGATCTTCCTTTCGCTCGCATTGAAAAATACGAAAGTGGCTTACAAAATATCAAATATACTGTTTAAATTGAATTTATTACTAAAATTGCAATTAATTTGTAGACGTACAATATCAGAAGTCAATTATATTTATTTTTAAAAATAATCATTATGATGATTTAACCGCATTTACACAAGTTAAAAGATCTTCCTTTCCCTCACATTGAAAAATACGAAAGTGACTTAAAAAATGTCAAATATAGCGCTGAAAGACGCATGTTTTCAGAAATGAATAAATTATCATTAAAAAAAAATCATTATGATGATTTAATATCCATGCATTTTCATAAAAAAATATTGCTGTATACGGTTCTGATATCTTACTTTTGCCCACATTGAACAATACAAAAGTGACTTAATCGGACGAAAGTCAATGTCAATATTCACGATATTAATGTTTTTATAATAAAAAAATAAATGAGTCATTTTCATTATTATTCATGTTTTCATGGTGATTGACCTATAACTGATGATGAAAATGACTAGCACAAAATATAAAAAAAAATCCTAACTTATTAAAAGATTGAACTTTACCGATATATATAGTACGATATTTATAGAAATTTTCGTGGATTACTTATTTCCTTTTTTCATAGTGAAATATTATTATTCCGGAAAGGACGAACGAACCGCAGTGATTATCAATTCAAAATCGGAGCTAATTATCTTGAAACAGTCGACAAATATAAATACCTTGGTGTTATTTTCCATGAAAAACACGACTTTAACTACAATTGTGAAACACTTTCAAAAAGCGCAGGACGGGCTCTTGGCAGCCTTATTTCAAAAGTACATGGGCTAAAACATTGTGGATTTAAAACATTTGAAAAATTATATTACTCATGTGTTGTTCCTATTTTGGATTACTGTGCTTCCGTTTGGGGTTTCAAACATTTTCAAGCGGCGGAAAATGTACAACATCGTGCGATTCGTTACTTCTTAGGCGTTCACAGATTTACACCTAAATTAGCATTGTTGGGAGAAACAGGTTGGATACCGTGCGCCTATAGAAGATGGATTTGTATTGTCCGATATTGGAATAGACTGGTTAAATTAAGTGATGATAGGATTACTAAACGAGTGTTTAATATGAATTACGATAAATCAAGCGCAACAAGTAACTGGTGCAGTGAAGTGAAAACCATTATGTCTAAGTTAGACTTATCCAACCACTTTGACAATAAATTAACAGTGAATATGGATTATATTAAATTGAAAATTTTCGAGTATTATGCAAATATATGGACAATCGACTATGAAAAGGTCCCTAAATTACGGACTTACAAAACATTTAAGACTCAATTTTCAGGTGAAAGCTATTTGTCATTAAATCTTAAAAGAAATGAACGCTCAATCTATGCACAATTTCGGTGTGGTATTCTGCCCTTACGTGTAGAAACCGGAAGATATGTAGGAGAAGCGCCAAATCAAAGACAATGTACTTTGTGTCAATCAGGATTAATAGAAGATGAAACTCATTTCTTAATTGTGTGCCCGGTATATAATGATATAAGATCAATGACATTTAATGACATTATTATAAATGATGTATATAACAACATGACAAACACGGAAAAATTAGTATTTCTCATTAAAAATCACCAGAACAAAATAATAAAATTTCTTGTTAAAGCATATGTGTTAAGGAGAAATTTTCTGTATAATAGGTAATTGACTTTTAACGAGCCAATAGTGACAACATGATGATATATTGACTGTCCATTTTCTGAAATGTGATACTGTAATTTACAGATCGAGCAGCAACTTTAATCTCATTTAAATGTTCCATTTTAAAAGATATGTACTGTTCACAGTTTGTATATTTGTATATATATAATAAGGTGACTTATAGGTCCAATGGGCCGGGTGTTTTTGTATGTATTCTTATAATGTATGTGAAATGATAAATGCACAATGTCACTATAATAAACAATTTACTTACTTATTATTTTAACAATGATGGGAAATTCCAAATTATTTTTCAAATTAACATGTACATCGCTCATCTACACCTGGGTGAGCATAATAACTGCCACTTTAATCCGTGCAAGATATCTATGGTGGTGCAGAAGGAAGGTTAATTCAATTGTCCACTCAATAAACAACGGGCAAATGTCATCAGTTACATACCGATGATTGGATTATAATAATACTTAACTGGGATTAAAGCGTCATGCGGTCACCGTCGTGATTACTATCAATTAAAGTGGATGCGAAAATGATATGACAACACGTGTTTGCACGTAAACATATTCATACTTTATTTTGTCTCATTCGTATACATGCATTTTTAAACATATATACAACATTACATAAAACCTACATAAGACCATTCCATTTAAGAATTTCAAGAGACATTATAATAATGAGAAACACATTCAAGACCTATTACTGTTAGATTAGAATCAAACAGTATAATTACAATATAATATATAAAAAGAATATTATAATGATAGGTAACACCATCGTTAATCAAAAATTAAAAACTGCCCGAAAAAGACGATGTAAGAAATTGAGAACTGTAAATCAGAGCCCTAACGCAGACATTGTATAATTCATGTTTTTTTGCCAATTATAGTTTACATAATAAATTACATTTTTCATCTTAACATATTAAGTTTTATAAAAATGATAGTTACTATAGCTTATAACATACGTCTACAAACTGCAATATTATCATGAAATTCTATTTCAACGCTATATTTGATATTCTGTAAGTCACTTTCGTCAGGCTCACAGTAAGCGAAAGGAAGATCAATGTCTGAGCTTGTGTATAAATATATTATGCTAATAACTGAAGATCAAATCATATTGATTAAAGATACTTGTTTTGATAATATACGTCTACAAACTGCATTATTAATATTAAATGCAATTTAAACACTATATTTGATATTTTTAAAATCACTTTCGCTTCCTCTCCCTAACATTGAAAATACGAAAGTGAGCGAAAGTAAGATATATAGAAGTAATGAAAATGCATGAATATTAAAACCTCATAATGATTTTTAAGTATTTTTTATTCAATTCTGAAACTATGCGTCTACAAACTGTTATATTAATATAAATTCAAAATAAATGGTATATTGAATGTTTTATAAGTCACTTTCGTATTTTTCAATAATAGCGATATATATAATGATTATTTTTGAAAATGAATATTATCAATTTCTGATAATATACGTCTACTTAGAGCAATTTTAGTAAAAAAATCAACTTAACCAGTATATTTAATATTTTATATGTCACTTTAGTATTTTTCAATGTGAGCGAAAGGAAGATTTCTGAACTTGTGTATAGAAATTATGCAAATAAATGGCGATTAAATCATCATAATGATTATTTTGAAAAATAGATATTATCAAATTCCAAAACTATACGTCTACAATCTGTTATATTAATATAGATTTAAATTAATCGCTATATTTGATATTTTGAAGTCACTTTCGTATTTTTTCAATCTGAGCGAAGGAAGAAATCTGAACTTGTGTATAAAAATAATGCAAATAAATAGCGATTAAATCATCATAATGATTATTTTAAAAAGTAATTATCATCAAGTTCTGATAATATACATCTACAAATTGTAATTTTAGTAAAAATTTCAATTAAAACAGAATATTTAATATTTTATAAGTCACTTTCGTATTTTTCAATGTGAGCGAAAGGAAGATATAAGAACTTATGTATAGAAATTATGCAAATTAGTAGCGATTAAATCATCATTATGATTATTTCTGTTAATAAATATAATTATTTTCTAATAATATACGTCTACAAACTGAAGTTTGTTTTAAAAGTCTATTAAAATGCTATAATTACTATTTTAAATGTCACTTTCGCTCACTTTTGCTCACTTTCGTCAAAAATCTCACTTTCGTATTTTAGGCATACCGTCTTTGTGACGCTTACAGAAAACAGTAGCATTTTAATTAATTAAAAGCGTCTGCAGAAATTAGATTACAGAAGTTCAAGAATTAGGAAATGAAATTGTTGTTGAATGAATATAACAATATTTTTAAACAATGTCACATGTCCTGAAGCATTGGAGAGAAGCTGCGACTCTGCTGCTAGTTGCTAAAGCCAGGGTGCCAGTTGTCACGTCGTTTCAGACCGCGAACTTTGAGGTGCTAATGCTGAAGAGAAGTGGCAAGTCAAAATTTATGCCAAAATTGCACGTTTTTCCAGGGGGTGTTGCTCATGACTCTGATTTTTCACCTGAATGGTTGGAACTGTTTAGCCAAGCTGGAAATGAATGTTGTGAAAAATATGCAAAGCTTCCTTGAACGTGGTGGGAAAGGGGCTTATATGTTCAGTCGAACTAGACCAGAAGAATTTTCCAAAATACACAGTGAACTAGCTTTCAGAATTTGTGCGATTAGAGAGACGTTTGAAGAGTCTGGTATTTTAATTGCTAGAGATCTAAATAATGTTAGAAATCAACAAATCACTGGAATAGATCATCCTATTTCTGGAAAGTCGTCAGTACTGTCTGACACAATTTTGAAACCATGGAGAGAAAGGGTAGACAATGATGCATCACAATTTATTGCTATGTGTAAAGAGCTTAATCTTTTACCAGACATATGGTCACTGTATGAATGGTCAAATTGGCTCACACCAATTCTCCCTGGACAACATGGACAGACAACTGCAAGGAGATATGACACAGCGTTTTACTTGTGTGTCCTTGACTACACACCTAATGCTGAACATTGTGCCAAAGAAACCACAGAGCTCGAAGTAATGAAACACTACTTGTTCTTAATTAGTACAAAATGAAGTATTTATTTTCACAAGAATAAAGTCATAGGACTTATGGGTAGAACTCAACTATTTTTTTAACTATTTTTTTTATATGGTCTACAGGTAATAAAAAGGAAATTTCTACTATTATGAATACTGAAGGGACTTTTTATAATGCTGAAGACAGCTCTCGTACTATCTTCAAAAGTTGTCAAACATTGATCAGTACAATTTACTTCACATTTGATGTAATAACTTATATAAGCGATAACTGGATATTAGTACATTGTAGTTTAAATTTCTCCTTATATACATGTAACCCCATGTCAATCACATCCCTACTGCTTTAAGTTATATTGCAATATTTTTAACTCTGTCAGAGAAAAGTCACAGTGTTTAGGCACTAAGCTTATAGTCTTGAAAGATTTCAACATCACTAATAGTCATTGACTCTTTATGTACTGAGTACATGTATAACTTTGAGTGATATTAAAGTGATTTTTGGTCATTGAGTCTTCTTTTTGGTTGAAGTGGTATAGTTATGATTAATAAGTTGTGATACATGTATATATTCATAAAAAATGGTAACTCATTTCTCAATGGAGCTAAATCCTGTATGTGATGATAATTGATTTAGGTCAATGTGCCTTCTTTTATGGTTTACAAGAAGCGTTATATTAAAAAAACATACATGTATTAGTTGTTATAGAAGTTTGCTGGACTGTGAGTGCTACACTTTCATAAGTAACTTTGACATTAACCGTAACAAGTTGAAAATAAAAGTTTCAATGTATATCAACACATTCTGAAAGTAATGCTTTAAGCTTAACGAAAGAGAATGTTGTAAGAGATTAATCAAATCAATATATTCATAAAAGTTAAATTGGATATTTCAGTGGACCTCTGCTAGTGGATTTCTACTCAAGCATGTAGATGAAAAGAACCCTCTTCAGCTGGCACCTCCACAAATAGTAGAGCTTGGTAGAATCCTTCATTTTTCTGATGCAGAAAAGCTGAAACAGTTTTCGTGGGAAAGATCAGCATGCAGGGTGCAATGCTTTTACCCTGTAACTTGTTATTGTGATGATGGGTTTCTTTTCATATATCCAGGTAAGGGATGCCAATTTTAGCTCTACTTTTTGAATTTTGAAGGATAGTTGGGCTTTTCTACTCATCCTTGTGTCGGTGTGTGTTTAACAATTTGGTTAAAGTTTTAAGTGCAACTTCTTGTACAACATAATATCTCATCAACCACTAAAGACATTTGCTTGTAACTTCACAGATGTCTTTGAGAGCAAAATGGGGGCCTACCTGTCAAGTCTTATGCATTTGTAAAAGCAATCATGACCTGGTTTCCATTTCTCAAACAGATACATAAAATTTGCAGTTAAAAGAATATTTTCAACAAAAAGTTTCAAAAATCACTAATGAATCTCTACGAAAGTTATATAAATTCATAACGGAAAGACACTCGTGTTGATCCTATAACTAACTGAATTATTCTTTCAAGGCATATAGTTTATACCATAATTTATAAGCTTGTAGGGTTTTACTTTTAAACTGTGAAAATGTAGTTGAAATAATTAATGTGTAATTGAAACTGTTTGGCTAAAAGAATTTTCAAGAAGAAAGTAAATCAATCATAATTAAAAAAAAATTTATGTCAATTGTTGTCCAGTAATTATTTTAATGTTGTGATACATACAATTAACTTTACTTGTAAAACACATGTGATCTATTTATGAAAATTGCATACTATTCTTATTTGTTATATATACATGGTTGTGTAAATCAATGAATAATAGCATTTTGTATTTAATATAATCATTTATGAATCATTTATTTGAAAAGATGTTTATTGAAGTAAGACATTTTTGATCAGGTATTTAAATTATCCCCACAGGTGATGATCTATACCCAGAGACACCAGACTATACAGGTGAACAACCCCCGATGAAAGTGGAGGGAACTGTTTTGAGTCTTCGTAACAAGTATCCAAATATGAATAGATCAGAAATGACACCTGGTCCTAAAGGAATGGAAAGAACATTTACTTGTAACATAAAAATGGCTGATGGTCAAGTTAGTCCTTTGTTTATAGACAAAACAATGGAATATGTACCAGCTTCGAATTTGTGAATAAATAAGACATTACTTTTCTATAGGCCATGTTAACCAGGTATTAAATTATTGTGATCACTCTCTGTCCAGGGGACTTATATAAACATCTTTTCAAAAATCAATACACTGTATGATTATCGAGGTTGTTCAAATAATTCCATTCGATGCAAAACTCTGGATGCCTGTGTGGCTCAAAGAGTTCTTTTTATGTGAAAAGCACAAAGCTAACAAATTTAATATTTGACTTGTAGCATCGCCTATTGGTACTTCATAAAAGTTGTTCAAAATATGCCCATGCCAGAGGGGTAACATAATTACATAGAAATATAATGTTCCAGTAATTTTTTTTCAATTTTCAAAACAACCTGTGGCTTTTTGAAGGGGAAAATATAGTGCAATAAATCAGAAAAGTGGAAAATCAAATTCTACCAACTGAGAATTTCAATTCGATTTAACATGCATGGTATATAGCAGAGTCTATCTATAGGGACAGCTGTCTGTCTTTTAGCTGATATAAGTCAGCTGCTGTTAAGTGAAGAATGTACACAGGGAAATTTAAGGGTAAATATTAGCATTTTTAGTGGAAATATATACCTATTTCGGTGGTAAAAACACAGGGGAAAGTCACTGTGTTCCGATATATTTCAGAAGGAAGAAACTATTTATGTCTTAAGTATTAACAGATTTAACACTCAGGGTGAATTGATCAAAAACTCATTGACTGGTGTAATGGAATATTTATTTGTTTATTTTAAACGTAGGTACATGGTATGCAAGCGAAAAGTGTCTCATAAGTCAGGAATGGCTAGCCCTTTCAGTAGGGGTGACACTATTTTCAGAGGCACTTATAACCCAACACTTGCATTTGTCTGTATATTAAGTAGGTTATTTGTGAATGGACTTTGTTCAAAATTCAACATATCATACTCACTACCTAGAATTATACTATTATATTATATTATTATTACAATTCATCGATAAGAAAATAGAAAAAATTGCAAAACAAATAGGCTACTGTAAAATGAAAAAATCACAGAATGACTGTAAAAATCATAACAAAATTAACAGTCTCTGAATCCCACTAAATATGTATGTATATAACCAGTTCTAACACTTTGTATGTCCTCCCAATTGGCTATACAACCTGAACACCTCTGCCTCACAGTTCACTATTCCTAAACAAGGGCTTACTCGAGTTCCAGCAAATTGTGAGTGGCTTCTGTTTGCTTTCTCACATGCCTGTTCAATTCAGCGGACAAGTGTGATGTTTAGATCTGGTGACTTGGGATGCAGGAACTGCTGGAACTCGAGGAAGCCCTTATTCATGAATGGAGAAATGTTCCCAAACCTACATGAGAAACTACGTCATAACCATGAGACAATACACTTTGTTATAGCCATGGGAGGACACACAAGGTATAAGAATAGGTTAACATACAGATTGAGCGGGATTCAGGGACTTTTCATTTTAATTGTTACCATATTTACAGCCATTTTGTGATTTGTCATTTTGAAGTAGCATATTTGTTTTGTTTATTTTCTCTATTTTCTTGTCAATGAATTGTCAATATAATTCTAAGAAATAAGTATGATATGTTGAATTTTGTATGTTCTAGAGTTGAACGAAATACGTTCACAAATAACCAATTTATATTTCTTATATGAGATTATTTATTGACAATCTTATGAATCTTTTTTTGTGTGTATGTGTTTCAAAACAGACCTCATGTGTGGTAAAGTAAAGTAAAGGTAAATAAACAGAAAAGTAAAAATTATCTCTTTTCTCTCCAAAATTTATCAGAGAAAATTTGGGTTGTCATATTTGTGTTTGAATGTGCAACTTCGTTTCTCATAGCCCCTAGAAAGAAACTGTTTTTCGAAATATATAATGTCAATCTTCAGAATTCAAATTGGGTTTGACCAGTACTAAATTTATTACCTAAGAAGAGGTATTGTTTTCAGGTCATGGCGGCGTTCCCTGTTGCCGTTGCCCAAATTCGCAAAACATTTAAACCTTGATCAGGGAACCCTTTTTAAATGTTTTCCTAGTGTTTTGTCTTAATTAAACTTTGGCCACAACAACGCTTTGGGACAAGACCTTCAAAGCAACCAGACTAAAACCCTTGGGGACTTTTTATTATTCATAAATGGTCCTTTGACATTTAAGGGTCAAATGTCTTTAAAATTTTGCCTTTGAATTTTTGCTATAAAGTGGGCTTGAGTACTTTGTTATTTGTATGCAAACCCTTGAACATAACAAATTCTTTTAGAAGAAACTTTAAAAAGGATTAGACAGATCTTGAAACCCTTTACTCCCTTTAAAGACATTGACCTTTAAAAATTTAAATTAAAATTTAAATTTTTTGCTCACCAGGCGGAAAGGTCAGAGTGAGGGTATTAGTAAACAAAAGGGGGGTTTCTCCCGGGATCCGTGTCAAAAGCGTCAAAAAATCCCTCTGGGTAGGGTTTACCCTTTAAAAAATTTTGGGCTGTAGCATCCTTGGGGACAGTCCCCCTTGAAAATTTTCTCCCTTTTTCATTTTAAAAATTTGGGCCCCCTTTTTGGGGGCAAAAAAAAATTTTAAAAAAAAAAAACTTTAAAATCTTTTTTAAATAAAAGAACTAATTGATGGGGTGATTCAAATTTGTCTGTAAACAAATTTTTGGGTTTGTCCTTTTTTTCAAAATTTGGGTCATATTAAAAATTGGGGAAATTTGGGGGCCCTTTTTGTGGTCTCTAGGGCTAAAAAAAAGAAAAAAAAACCCTTTAAAATATCTTCTTCTACAGAACTAATGGATGGATGATCACCAAACTTTGTCTGTATCATTCTTGTGTAGTCTTTTATCAAGTTTGCTCATATTAACTTGATTGGCCCCTTTTAGGGGCCGCTAAAGCTAAAAATAGAAATACCTTTAAACATCTTCTTCTATAGAACTAATTGATGAATGATCACCAAATTTTGTCTGTAGCATTCTTAGGTAGTCTTTTATCAAGTTTGATCATATTAATTTGATTGGCCCCTTTTAGGGGCCGCTAAAGCTAAAAATAAAAATACTTTTAAATGTCTATTTCTACAGAACTAATTGATGGATGATCTCCAATCTTTGTAGCATTCTTGGGTAGTCTTTTATCAAATTTGCTCATTTTGCTCAATTTGCTCATAAATTTGATTGGCCCCTTTTAGGGGCCACTTAAGCAAAAAATAGAAAAACTTTGAACATCATTTCCTACTGAAATAATTGATAGATGATCACCAAACTTTGTAGCATTATTAGGTAGTCTTTTATCAAGGTTGCTCATATTAATTTGATTGGCTCAAATTTAACATCAGAAAAAAAGTGACAATGGATAATTTCCAACACTGAATAGCAGTTGTTTCTGGTGAGCGACTCAGGGCCATCATGGCCCTCTTGTCATTTTTTTGCTGTCACTGGCTTTAATTATACCCTCACCACAAAATGTGGGGGGCTATAATGGATTCCCTTTGTTGCGTCCGTTGGTCCGTCCGTCCCTCCGTCTCCATTATCGTGTCCGCTCTATAAATCCTATACCAATTGAAGGATTTTCTTCAAACTTGGCTCAAATGTTCACTTAAATAAGGAGATGTGCAGAACCCATGTTGCCTATGTGTCAGCTCAAGGTCAAGGTCACAATTGAAGGTCAAATATCAAACAATCAAATATTAGACAGTTTGTCGTGTCCGCTCTGTAAGTCCTACACTAATTGAAAGATTTTCTTCAAACTTTGCTCAAATGTTCACCTCAACAAGGGGAAATGCAGAACTCTGAATTACATATTGACATGATTATGCTTAATTTTCTTAACTTCACTGCTTTTTTTGTTTTAGTACATTGGGAAAATGAAAGGTTATTTGTAACTGTCTTGAACATGATTTGACAATATATGTTTATACTATTACCTGTACAATTTGTCTTTTTTTAACCAGAGATAATTTCTTTTTATGTATATGTATTTGTGCCACTAAAGTTATTCCCTTAACCACCTTTCCAAGTCGTCTTCTGTCAAGGACATTGGTGGGGGTATGAATCGCATTCAGCGATATTTCTAGTTTTGATAGTAATGAATGGATTGACTTCATATTAAGGGACAACATTCTTTAGGATGAGACCTTCCTGTGTATCAAACTTAAATTGACCTTGACTCATTCATGACCTTGACCTTTAAGTTAAATTATTGAATTTTCACATACTTTTGCTAGCAGCTAATAATATTAATTGACTGTAACTTGGTAATTAATAAATGGATGATTCTCTTCATTATAACTTGGACAAAACAACTTTTTGGACAAGACCTTCTTAAAGGTTGAACAGACCTTGACCTTGAGCTTTAAATGACCTTCGCTATCAAGGTAAATGAATGTCAGAAAGGTGAATGTTGTGAGATTATAAAGCAATTTGTTTTTGTATTTTCTGATCGAAGATCAGTAAATACAAAGCTAACATTAAATCTCTGACACAGAAGTTTCACGACAAACCTAACAACAAGTAGTTTTCAAAACAGCTTAAAACTAGCTATTTAAAAGAAAGAAATATTTTTATTTTGTTACAAGTATCCAACAAATTACAACGCATTGAAAGTTTAAAAGTAGCGTTGGCTTATAGAATTGTCAATAAATGCACACTCACAAATAACAAATTACGCGGATGAATATGATTTTAATAAATGAAAATGCTATTTTTAGCGATGTCGATTACCGAATACTACACATAAATCTGACTGCCGAGTTGTGGAATATATAGATTCTACATGTCGGACTGTTTGGGCGAGAAGATTTTTTGCTAAATTATTTACTTCAATTATAAACAACAGGTTTATCCCGAACAAAATACCTCGAAATTAATAAGGATTACAAACCCGAAATGCAATGGAAGTTCTAAATTTAGAATGACTTGATTTTATTCAGGCATTGTTTATATTACTCAGGGCTCATACTTCTCCGTGGTGCAGGGGTAACGCGCTTGACTAGTGTGTGAGAGGTCTGGCCCCGTGTTCACAAAGATTTAAGGATCAGGATCATGATCAGGATCAAATTGAAAACCTCTAATATTCTTCATTTTTTATCCTCATAGATTAAATATCTAAAATTAATTTGATAAAACTGGACTTGCAGTAGCAAATTAATGAAATTTTAGAATAAATTTATTGTTATTTTTACAAGATACGGGACATTTTACAGTTGATCCAAATATTGATCCTGATCCTAAAATTGATCCTTATTTTGTTATTTTGATCCGAATATTTTTGTATTTGTTTTGTTATTTGTTAATTTTATTCCAAATAGTTTGATTTCTTTGCAAATCAGCAGTTTTTTACATTTTGAATATTTACTATTTTATTCCAGCAAATTCCTATAAATTCCAATAAATTTTAGTAACATAAAACAATGGAAATAAAATCAGGATCACTTGATCCTGATCCTGATCTTTTCTTTGTGAACATGGGGCCTGGAGTTCAAATCCCAGTCGAGGTCAGCTATTTAAAAAAATTCTTTTTTAAGTGTCTTTGTTAAGGAAGTAGCCAATGATATGCAAGGATAAAGTGTGGCTGGTCATGATCGAAAATTATGAACATAAATATTTTTTGATTGCAACTCTAGTTAATGCAAAAATTCCGGTATGTATCAAACTCTTGTGCTTGCAAGATGAAATATAGTACATAAAAATAAATTTTACAGGAAAATACAGATACATTTATGTATACAGTGACGATTTAGATTGAAAAGATCAGAAAATACCACAGAGCTTGCAGCCCTTTGATTATATAGTGCCACCAATGCTGTTTCCCGTGTTATAAATGTAGTAATTGCAATGATATTCAATTCAATGTTTATTTGGCATAAACAATTAAAAAAAACAATAAGAAAATAAATAAAAACAACATGATTTGCGTTGATTGGGATTTGAATTCCAGACCTCTCGTTTTCTATAAACGAGCCTGTAACCCCTCGACCACAGGGAAGTTATGAGAAATGACCTGAAGAAAACGACATTATTCTAAATTAGGGTTTATAATCCTTATTAATCTCGAGATACTTTGTTCACGGTAAACCTGTTGTTTAACACTGATGTAAAAAATCATGGAGCTTAATATAAGCATGTATATCTGTAAAGAATTACACAGATTTCTACGACCAATCGGGAACTATTTTTTCTTCCCCGAGAAGGCTTGAAAATTATTGCGCCTGTCATTTGACAATCTTTACTGTTTGTACACGGGAGTAATTTCCCCTTAATTTTTCGGCGTCAGTGTACTCATAAAGGGAAGTAACCGCTTCGAGGAGTTCGGACTACTTTCGGTTTTTGCAAATATTTAGCATATCCGGGACCATTATTTGTTTGGTCTGACGACCCAAACAAAGAAATACACATATGCAATAGATATACTTTACCTCTGCTCTGGTATGTACTGAAGTCATAAGTTCCTTGAAAAAGTAAAAGCAACTAGTACTGGTAAACTGCTGTATAAACACTTTCACCTAAATTCCCCATGCGAAAAAGGTAAGCACACCTGCTTGTAAAAGTTGAAGTTGAAGTTTTTCAATTGTTACATTTTCAATTAATTTTCTATTGCAATATAGAAGAAAAAAGTGTGTATGAACACGTTTATTGGAATAGCGTAGTGGTTAGAGGGTTCAACAAGAAAATTTTTGCGAGTTGAAATCTGCAATTATTAGTGTGCACATTTTTTTTTAATAGTTTTTACTTTCAGAACATATTTTTATAGTTTGTGGGGATGGGTAGGTTGAGCTCGAAGCTTTCGCTGTGTATATAGGCAGTTTGTTCGTATATAGCCTATAGC